CCTCATCTACGCTCTTCCCTTAACACCCACACCCCTCTCACTCTCATACCCAATCTCAATCTCTCTTTCTCTTTCTCTGCATGATATATACATATCTATGCTTTACTCTACTTTACTTATTAATATCACTTCTAGTACTACTACTACACATCCATATTATTATTATAAAAGCAAAACCCTAGCTAAGAACAAGAACACGAACAAGAACGATAACAACTTCACCAGTAAGCTAATCCCAGCCTCAGCAAGATCTAAGGCAGATCCAAGGGTTTAGACCATACCAGATCCATGGATTTGGTTTCGGAATCATCCAACGTTACAAAGCCCAGGTACAAGATGGAGAGTCCAAGCCCAAGCCCGAGCGCGAATCCAACGGCGGCAGCGTCGTCACCGTCTTCGGGTACTCCGAGCCGCTACGAGAACCAAAAGCGGCGAGACTGGAACACGTTCTGCCAGTACCTAAGGAACCACCGTCCTCCTCTCTCGCTGGCCCTGTGTAGCGGCGCGCACGTGCTGGAATTCCTCCACTACCTGGACCAGTTCGGGAAAACGAAGGTTCACAACCACCCGTGCCCGTTTTTCGGTCTCCCGAACCCTCCGGCGGCCTGCCCCTGCCCGCTCCGCCAGGCCTGGGGCAGCCTGGACGCCCTCATCGGCCGCCTCCGCGCCGCCTACGAGGAAAACGGCGGCAGGCCCGAGAGCAACCCCTTCGGCGCACGGGCCGTCAGGATTTACCTCCGCGACGTTCGCGACTTTCAGGCCAAGGCCAGAGGTGTTAGCTACGAAAAGAAAAGAAAAAGGCCCAAGCCCAAGGTCACTCCCGCTCCTACTTAATCAACATTCCCACAAAACCTATGTCTCACCACATCCCACAGGTATCAAATGCCAATCGTTTATTTTTATATGCTCTCTATGTCTTAATTACTTCCTTTTCTCTTTTGTCCGATCTTATGGGTTTAGTAAACCAAGTTTCGCTGTTTTCTGCTGCTTCTTTTTTCTTTTCTTTTTTTGCAATTTTAAGGTGCTTTTGTCTCTCTACCAACACCCTTCAGATCACGCCCTTCAAAGATAGTGGGAATTTAGTGCCACCACCTCTCTTCCGTCTACTACTGCCTTCTCTACAAGATATCTTATCATATTGCTTGTACTCAAATTAATACACTCTATTTATGAAGCATGCACTTCAATATCTACCCTCTCCTCTACGTGAGACCTTTTTCGAAAATATTTATTGATCTTCACAGGGAGATTAATTGGATGTGGATATTCAATATATATTATATAAGCTGCTGTATATATATTTGTTTTCCATTAATTATATATATATATATATGCTTCTGCAGGGAAACTACATATATAACTTATGTTACATACCTTTGCTTCTTGTAAAGGTGAGACATTGCGGGGATTGTGTTTGAGCCAAGCACACTAGTCTATTATTTATTTATTTATTTCCTTTATTGAGAGTTTTAGCTAATAGCTGCGGGCTGGTTCTCTTTTTCTAGCTTGATGAAAATAATTAAACACACACAAGTACCCTTTTCTCTGCATCCATGCACATCCAGCAGGAGGGAAGTTTAATTATTAGAAACTAAATAGTATATTTCTTGAGGATCTAACTCGAGCTCGGATTGAAAAACTGATTAATATATTACCATTTATTAAAACCTAAAGGATGTCGAACAATAAATAACTAGCTGAAATTATGCAAACATATATAACATTAAGTAGTTAGAGAGGAGTCACAGACTTGGAATGTAACTGGTCTAGTCCGGTTCAATAATTAATTATATATGATTTTGCAAAATCTATGATAGCAATAAGACAAGTGTGTATTGTTTTCTCTATTATAGATGACAGCTAAAAATGAGTATGTCAAAAGTAATTGGATATGCGTATGGATGATTAACTTTTGGAGTATTGACAATCGGGGTAGGCTATTCGCCTAATCCCCTTATAGCTGGGAGAACGACCCATTTTTTTAATTAAAAAGTGGTTCCTTTTGAAGTGTTGATGATGGACTTTCTCCATGTTAAATAGTTGGCTGGCTAGGTCATCTTGGCTAAAAGATCCTTATTCATTTTATCTCTAAAGAGCAAAACCTAATATATTTGTTTGTTAGCTTGTTGGTTGAGTCGGGAAAAGGCTTACATTAATTACGCTTTAAAATGTAGATAGGTTGACAGATGATGACGGTGATTGTAACTTACGTTGATTCTGCAGAAGACAATTAAAAAAAATGAGAAACTTTGAAAATTTTAACTACTCATGAAGGTTTATTTATTTTTCCTTTACTTGCAAGTACCTATATCATCTAAAAGGCTTTGTTGATAGGACTTTGCAATTATAGAACAGAAATAACGTGTTGTGACTTCGCCATTTTATCACAACTAACTTAAGCCATGACTTTCTTTCTTCGATTGTTGGATATATATTTATGATTGACACTATTGCATAATTTTTATCTGGAATTAATTGCATCTCTACTCACCAAACAGTCTGTTACAGATTTAGTATTTTAAAAGTGAGATTTACTTTATAGTATTTCATTTAAAATAATAATAGTTCAACTTTAAATTCATTATATTGGAATAAAAACTATTTGTGTAACCATTTTAAATGTTATAAACGACGTTAGCATTCTAATACAAGGTTTTCAATTTCAAGATTTCATTTAAAATAGATATATGATTATCATTTATGTTTTCTCGTTTAAAGTTATGACTTTGTAATTATATTTTATGTTAAACAAATGGCAGTCGCTTGATTCCAAGTCTTTTCTCTCTTTTCGGTCATCACAATTCACGAACATGGACACACAAATGTGTGTTTTTAAAATTTAAACGTTCATATAAGGTCTGATTGGATAATTTTTTCTTTAAGTATTTTGAAGAGAAAACAAAATAAGGAAAAAAAATTGAAAGTTCAAATTAGTTTATGTATAAGTTAATTTGGAGAAATTATTTTATATTAATTCTTTTATAAAACATGTTTTTTAACTTATAAATAAGGCAATTTTAATTTCTGAGAAAACTAATTTATTTAGAGTAAACTAAAAACTGGTTATAAATAAATTTATTTAAATAGACTAGTAATCTTAAAAATTTGATAGTGTGGAATAAGAGAAGATATTGAATCTAACAAAGTACTTTTTTAGGTCAAAGGTTTTTTTTTTTTTTTTTACAGTAGCACTATTTCCTCGAATTTTTTTTCTTTATGAAAAAAGCGTTCATATATCTAGCTATAATAGCAATAATGTCAAATAATGATTTTGCTATGAAAATAAATACTGGGATTAACTTTTTTACATGGAACTTCAATACTTTTTTGAAAAGAAAAAACAAGGCATATATGACTAATCAAGGTGAGCTGGGCAAAACTTTTTAAACTTTATAAAGATGAGAATTAAAAAAAAAAAAAAAAAAAAAAAAAAAAAAAAAAAAAGAGACATAATTAGGCAAAACTGTATGAGGCCCTAATTAATTAAGAGTGACATTGTATGTGATATATCATAAATAATCTCTCTTGATTTAAACCTGATATTCGGTAACCTTAAATGGAAAGTTATTGATCATTTCTCCAGGTCTGTGGAGCAAGTGAATGCATTGATGCCTATATGGAAACCATAGTGAAACCGCTGGGTTTGAACTGATGCTTCTTTTTTTTTTTTTTTTTTTTTTTTTTTTTTTTTTTTTTAAGGATGTTTCTTCCTAACATCATTTTTTTAAGGGGTAGCACACTTTTTTTAAAACGATTTATTGATTAAAATTCTCTCTATATCCGGAAAAGAGGTTATGTACTTGAAATAAAATGTTTTTACACCATCATCTAATCATAAGTTACTATGATTTAATGGGATAAACTTTTTTTTTTCAGAAAAAATCTTATAAGAGAAGAAAATAAAAAAGAAAAAATATGAAATAAAATTAACTTATATATAAAATAAAAATAAGTCTTTGGAAAAACTAATATAAGATGATTTCTACGAATTAACTTATAAACTCTAATTGAATAATTTTATTAGATAAGCAAAATCTATAAGCATTATTAATCCCTTTAGTTATTTTGCCATTTACTTCGTCTATATATGAATAAATGGTATAAAATGGTATAAAGGAGGTTATTGGCAATATTATCAAACTAGGTTGTAGTGAACATGGATAGAAAAAGAAAAGAAAAGAAAAAACTAGGTAGTAGTGGTATGTTTGGGATAAAAAAACACTACTGAAATTTGATTAGCACTTTTAAATAGACAAAATTATATAATAATACATAATTATTTTTCTCAATATTAATTTTTTTTTATCATGAATCCACTACTGAAATAGTAATAATAATAACATAACTCCAGTTCGATTTAACTTAAATAGTTAACATATATAATCGATAATATTTTTTTTTTATTGTTATTCAATCACAAAAATATTGTTTATAAAAGTTTACGGAATTTCATGATAAAAATATTTAGTTGATAATGTAAAATATTTTATAATGATAACACATGTCTATTAAACTTTAACTAAACGAAGAGATATAAACATATATGTATGAATGATTAACTATATATATATATATATATATATATATATTCCAACTTTTAAAATCCATTATATTTTAGGAAGTGAATTCCTATCCGAGTTTGTCTGGACGATGATTGGGAACCATATTTTGAATTGAAGAAAAACTAGATGAAGAACTTTCTATATATGCTTAGGCCTACATGGTACTCAGTCTTACCTGTTTTGGCCTTTAGGGCGTCAAAAGAAAACATGAAACCTACATCCGATAAAGCATATATGTCTAATGTCTTCCTCCCACGAGGTAGCTTAAGTTCTTAACCACGTGCTGCATTTTCCGGTAACGCCCAGGAGCTTTTCGGTGTGCCAAACTTCAATAAAGCGATAACATTAAAAAAAACAAAATTTCTCTGTCTTCAATTTACAACTATAGTTGTGATTGATTAATTTGAGAGTAATTAATAGTGGTTACTGGTTAGGGACTATTTTTTTCACGTGACTTCATGATTTGAATAAAGTTTGTCTTGGTTTGCTCTATACTTTTATATACTATTAGTATTATTATTAATAAACAAGATCAGTGTATAATATATGCATGTTGGACTTCTTGTTAGTTTTTTAAAACTAAAATTAAATTCAAATAGTTTTATATATGTCGAAACGTTGAATGCAAATTTATATATAAAAAATTAATAACTAAATTATATATATATATATATATATATATGTATGTATGAATTAAAAATGGGTAAAATGAAGCATGTATTCATCGAACTTCTATGCATACGTATGACTTGTATGGTATTCTTTAAATAACTCGATGTTAATTAAGTCATTGGAAAAGAAGGGAAGGTTAAAATTGAAGGTTAACTCGATGTTAATTATCAGATTCTGACGAATAGTAAAACTGTTTTTAATTAATAAAAGAAAATACATGCGACATATGTGACATTATTATGTTACGATCATTCGGTGTGTGGGACAATATTGAAGTACTCAATTGATCTGAACACTATGAAGATAGTTAATGTTTGCAAGCTAACCACACGAGTGGTTTCCAATTCCAAATTAGATGCATTCCCGAAATAATAAAGTCACACGTCATGTTCCATCTTATAAGGCAAACAGCAAACTTGTATGATTATGATGCCGTAAGGCAGGAACTTTAGGCTAAAAGTTAATCCAGAGAAAATTTATATATAACTAAGAAAATTTTAATAACAAATTATTTAAATACAAGATAAATAAATTTAACACAGGAATAGAAGTGTTCATTTCTTGATGTTATTTTCTATCTTTTATACTTGTCAAAAAAATTGTTTTTTATACAATATCTTGAAAATGCTATAAAAATATTTTTCGAAACTAGAAAAATTAAAACCCTTTTAAAATCACATTAAAAGTTGTGATTAGACACGGAACGAACCAGAGCCATTGAAGATGGACAAGCAACCAATACAGCGACTAGAGTTGACTACCGAAAACATTTTCATCAGTTTAAAACACTTAACATATATAATTTTTCTTATTTAACTTTTCAAAATAAAATTATCATAAAACTGCCAAATAAAAAAGTTAGAGATCTTAATCAAAATGAAACAAGACACATATATGATATAAGTAGTTGGTCTAATATTGCGATTAATTTTCAAATCCTTAACTTAGAAGTGATAATTTTAATGTATTCAAGTTCTCAAGGAACTAATTTTTAGTTAATAAATACTCCTCTCAATTATGTGATTCCTAAAAAAAATAACATATGAGCACTTACAAATTTGAATTATATTTAGAAATACATTAAATGTAAACTTTTAATATATATTTTTTGATAAAAGTTAATAAAATTATATATTTAACAACTTTTTACAAAATATAAGCTTAGTCCGATTATTATATTCGGTATTCTTACTAAATAATTATGTTAAAATTTTTATATTTTTTTAATTATTTGACAGTTCATTACATTATTTTATTTTAATATAATATAAATTTATATATATATATATATATATATATATTAAAGTTCATTATATTATTTTATTTTAATATAATATATATATATATATATATATATATATATATATATTAATATATATATATATGATCACAAATGTAATATTTTTTATTAAAGAAAGATTAAAAATGAGAAAAACATTCGCTAAACAGATACTTATATTTGTTAATTTAAAATTACTTTAATTTTTTTTCTCTTATTTCCCTTCTTTCAATTATATGTTAAAAAAATATTGCAAAAGAAAAATGCTATGAACGCATTTTTCGACACTCTCTTCCTGATTTGTTAAATTTTATTGAAAATTATAAAATTTAGTAAATTTTATATCTATTTAATAAATTTCTATTATAATTTTGCAAATTTTATAATTGATAAAATACGTTATCAATCCATTAAGAATCAGTTAGATCATAGTATCAGGTTTTGGTGAAATGAATGAATTGATAAGATGAAATTTGAACACAAGCCATTTTTATATATATAAATGTCTTATATATCACTGAAATAAATGATTTTTCATTATCATATATAATAAATATAATATATGTAATATTAAATTATATTTTATTTTAGGACTTAGACATAAAAACATGTAATTATTGAATATTTTAATAATCACAAAACTAACATATTTTAAGATAAACAGCTGCGAAGCACTAAAGTAAGGTTTTGGGTGGACACTTTATCCTATGAGTGATGAGTGATGAGTGATGAGCAGCGTACAAACATCCCCGCAATCGCCGGTCACATGACACGTGCAACAAGTGTGGTCCCCGCAAGGCGCGTGCTCCACGTGGCATTAGTACTATACCTGTCGCCTCCGTCGATTCTTGAGCCTCCTCCCATCCCCATTCAAACCTAAACGCAAAACATAAATCTAATTCTGCTTTCCAATTTCCATATTTTGCTTTCTTCAACCTTTCCATTTTCATTTAGGAGATTTCACCAACCAACCATTTTTTTATCGCCTCGATGACAATCGAATAATGCAATATGGATCATATCTCCATGCAATTCTCAAAAAATAAAAGTGCTGCCCACCTCTTCCTTTTTTCTTTTTTTTTTATACTAATACCAGTACAGTATCCGTGCAATGATTCATCTTAGTTTTTACACATATTTTAAAACCACTCTGTATATTATATAGTTTAAAGAGACATGTTATTATACATCTTTCAAAAATTATATCATTTTTAGCTTAAAATAATTGCTTAAATTATAATTAGAAGATTAAATAATATTAATGTTAAATATTTAATATTCTTAATATTTAAGATTAAGGCAATATGATATATATATAGATGTTTAACATAAAATTTAATCTAACTTATAATAATATGTGTGAAATCACTCACAAATCACTTGAGTATATTCACCTAGTATATTTTTAATTAAATTTTGACTTAATTTTATATTTAATCACTCAACTTCAAGAATTTTATACTTTTGTCATAATATTAGTTGATGTTGTTAATTAATTATTAATGTGACATGTTAGTTAGTTATGTGACATATTGATTGTTAATGTATAGTGATAACACAACATATAAATGATATTATGATATAATTAATGTGTTATGTTGACAATCAACATATTACTATTACATTAGCGGTTAATATGATACATCAATAACTAATTAATAACATTAGATAATTAATTAATATGTAATAAAATGTGCAAAATTTTAATAATTGAATGAAAAAATGTGTAAATTCAAGAGTTAGGTAACAAAGTTATGAAATTGAATAAATGACAAAAAAAAAAGTACAATTAAGCTTTAAATTTTACTTAAATTCTTTTCATAAAAGTTTGAGTATTAGATTTAATATAAAAAAATGACGTTGAAAGAGATAATTTTAATATAATCAAGGTCTTGAGAGAAACTAATTTTCAACAAAATTGATAAATGTTCTTATAAATATCATGGTACCAAAAAAAATTGTGACATTCTAACCATTTAAAACATTTTTTTTCCATAAAATCTAAATAAATCAATCCATGAAGGTTCTAATAGATGAAGGTTCTAATAGATGTGATATGTACACAATAACATTGATATGTAGTACATACATACATTTTAATCATCTAATTAATAACTTTATTAAATAAGAAATGTATATTAATCAATAAGTTGAAACTTGACTTACAACATAATCAATAAATTTGAGCCTAACTTATTTAAAAGTTTGGTCTAACCAAAGTTCATTTAGGTGACTTATTTTATATAAGACCTATAAGTCCAACCATTCAAAACATTAATATTAATAGTTATACATATTAAATTTAAATATCAACTATAATTAATATACAATGTAAATATATGATGTATAGTGTTGTATTACATGTTAAATAGACTGACTTATCATATTTAAACTTAACCTTTTTAATATGCAAGTTGGATAACGAATCCTTATTGATGTTTTTTAATCTAACATCAAACTATATTACAAAATAAACACTTAAATATATATTAATCATTAAATTTTTTCATCAATAACAAATATTAATTACTTTCTTTTTAAATAACAGTTACTTACTTTTGTTTAAAGTTCATCATTCAATTTTGAAGACTTGAATCCTTAATTATTATCCTAATTCAATAAACAATCTCATAGTTAATTTTACTTGTAGGAGATACTATATCAAATATTTAGTACTTTCTGCAACTCCTTGTAGAGAGCTCGATTTTTATGGATAAAAAAAGTTTAAAAATATTGTTGATATGTATTTACATAATGCATGAAGTAATTAACTATAGATATTTTATTTACGACGGTAATGAGTAAATACTTTAAATTTGTTTTACAATAAAAGCATATTTAATAAATCATTAACTCGTGTAATTTTTAAAATAATCTCATTGAAGATGTTATACAAAGAGAATATATGTGTTTGTTGTTGTTATAATTAAATTCAATTGTTCAAACTTTTTTTTCCCCAATAGTACAAACTTGCTTTGAGATATTGATTATTTATCTCCTCATAATATGGCCCATGCAAGCTCGACCAACATTTTAACTGGGCTGAATCTATTTTTTCTTCAATTTAGGCCCATATCCAGTCATATCAGTAGTTACGTGTTAGTGGGCCCACCAGGAAGCCGCGAGAAAGTTGTGGAATCAATAAAATATATTGAAATCAATTAAAGTAGAGTAACGTAAGCCAAATCCAAACGCTGCCTTAGATTCCAATTCACAGTTCAGTTCCGATTCCAATTCCATGGCGACACCACCGTCTACCTCAGCTTCGCAATCGCAATTCGTCTATTCCAACCCTTCCTACTTCCCCGTCCCCTTTCACCTACAGCAACCCGTAACCACTCACTACGCTGCGCCATACGTCGCCGCTCCCTCCGTGCAACTCCCCGCACCTCCCGTCGTCGGCCCCGTTGCGTCCGCGCCGGTTCCCGCCGTATACTCCGCCGTGCCGCAGTATCAGGTCGGTGGTTTTGTTCCCGTTTATAATAAGAAAAAGAGAAGGTGGCGTAATTTGATTGAATTTTGGTTTAATAAATAAAATGAATTTTAATTTGATTGAATTTGTGATGTGATCGAACAGGCACAGCAGTTATTCGAGAGAGATGCACAGATAATAACGCCGGAGGCTCTTGAGAATGTTAAGGCAGCGATTGCGAGCAGCGACGTCGAGCACAAAACTGATGCAAAAAGGAAAGCGGTTCCTCGCAAAGCTGCAGGCCAATCTTGGGAGGATCCTATCCTTGCAGAGTGGCCAGAAGGTAAGATATGTTGATGATGATGATGATGATGTAGTCATTACTATTTCGTATTTACTTATTCGTTATTTTTAGTTTTATGTACATTGAAAGTTTGCTTGTGAAAGTTGAAATTATTATATGTTCGCACTTAAAAACAATATTGCGGCCGTAACCATTACCATGTGTGTTTTGTTTGTCCTAAGCCTTTTGCGTTTGTGGTTTTGATGATTCTGAAGTTAGATAAGAATTCATGATTTGATTTATCTTTTTCTTTATTTATCTTTTTTTTTTTTTGGATAATAGATGATTATCGGCTCTTCTGTGGTGATCTTGGTAATGAAGTGAATGATGATGTTCTTTCAAAAGCATTTTCACGATTCCCTTCCTTTAACATGGCACGGGTAAGTGGATTTCTCATCTAAATCGAATTTTCTTTATGATTAATAATGATTGTTGTGCTAGTATGAGCATTTTTTTTATTTCCTCTTCAGATTTTTGTTTGAAGGAACAGAGTTGTTAATGGTTTGTGTATGTTAAGGTAGGTCTTACTTCATAATTTACATTTGACTGGACCTTTTTTAATGATTAAATTGATGCATGACTTTGTCATCTCAGGTTTCACCTTGTTGTTGCTCCTCATTCACAAATCAAGGCAATTGAAATTATATACTGGTGAAATGATGCATTTGAATTTGAACAATCAATTTATTTAAAATTAGCACTGTTACTATTACTTTTAAGTGTTATCTCAATCTCAAAATGAGTTGGAGTTAGGTTGACCTTTGCTTGAGTATTGGCTAACTGGTTTAAATTTGGGAGATTTGGCAGCAGGTTAATTAGAAGATGGAATCTTTCAACTAGATATTGTTTGTTTTTCCTGTCCTGCTCTACTCAATTCCTTAACCTACATAGCATTCTAACTAGATTTTGTTTGTCATGCTAATTTGGATTCTTTGAACAATGTGTAATGGTAAGTTTAGGTGTGGATGAAAATGATGGACTACTAAAGGGACTTTGAAATTTGGCATGGAAAAGTTCCTACACGAGAGGGAGGGCAGGGAGAGACTCAGTTCTTTTGCATGTCTGCCAGAGACGACAGTGTATTTTTAATTCACTCTGGGATGAGTGGTAATAGTGGTTATTGAAAATATGAACTGGAAAATTAATAATAGCTTTGTCTATTAAGTATTAACTAATTATTGCACCTACTATAATTTTTGTGCAAAATGAATAATCTAGATATTATATTAAATTTGTGGAAATTAGAAGCTAATCCAGCATGTATTTTGGGGTTGCTTTTTGTATGTAGATTTTTTACAGAATAAATATGTATTTAATAGTTCTCAATGAGACTGATAAATTTGTTTTATGCTTTGTTGCTGAAAATTTGAGGACATGTTATTCAAGAGTGGAGACATTTAATTTCATCTAAAGAACTTTAGGTTTTTAGTCATCTGTTTGTATTTTGTAATTGCCTTATCTCTAAGCAAACTTAACATTTATTATTTAAATTTTATGGTGCATGTATTTTCTTGTAATTTGTTATAATTAAGGTATGTTTGATCTTGTCTAGGTTGTCAGAGATAAGCGGACTGGTAAAACAAAAGGTTATGGATTTGTGAGCTTTGCCAATCCTTCTGACGTTGCTGCTGCTCTTAAAGAAATGAATGGTTAGTAAGTTCAGATGGGCCTCTGTTTTAAGTATTATTACTCTGTAATGTCTAGATACATATTGACTATTACTTTGTAATATCTGTTACTCTTCTGACATAGTGCTTTCTTTCAGTATAAATATTTTATGCCAGATAATACTGACTAGCTTTGCAATTCAAAATCACAATCATGATGGATTATCGTTTATTTTATGCTTGCATGTATTTATGGCCTATCCTATTTGTCACCTAGTCCTTTCAATGTAAGCAGAAAATAGTGGCAAATGCAATGAAACATGTCTCCTGACTTTGATGTGTTGATTTCAGGTAAGTATGTTGGAAATCGTCCAATAAAACTACGCAAGAGTAAGTGGAAGGAGAGAACAGATTATGAAGCACTGGAGAAACAGAAGGTGGCAATTTTCTTTGTCAATAATTTCAAATTGTTCCGTCAATATATCATCTTGTATATCCAACTTAATTCTTTTATTGTTTACGTGGCAGAATCACATTCAAAAGAAACCGAAAATGCCAAGGAAAGGTGTGCTGCACAAGTGACAGGCCAGAATTTGTGTAAATCAGGTTACTAACTTAACCAAGTAGAACACCGTTTTGAAAATGCTATTTCTTTTTTCATCTGAAATGTATCTCCCGTGTAAGCAGAAAAGAGGCCTCACCTTCAGATACTTATTTCGGTGGAACTGTTTGCAAAATACCATATTTGTTAATGTATGGCCACTACCAAAAAAAAAAAGCTCATTTTTTATGTTTACATTTCAGGCATTTGTGTTGGTAATTTAAAACAGCTGGACGAAAAAACTCAAAAAATGTATAAATTTTGACCGACTGCTGCTCATTTAATTAAGGAAAATTTTTAGATTGTGCTCTCATGTTGGTGCTTGATCGAGTAGGGCAAATACATTTATGCCATCCGGCGGCTTTTCAGCCAAAAATATAAAAAAAATTATTAAAAAAAATTATTTTAAAAAATAATTATCAAAATAAATTGTTCCTGTCATATAAGCAGCGTTACAATCAAAACGCCATTGAGGTTGGGCGTAATGCTTGAAAATAAAAAAAGAACAAAAAAATGCATATTCTTTAGACGTAACCTGTTTAAGAATTTTTTTTGAGAGTGGAGGCCGTTAGAACACAAAGTGCTAGGGGAGTAGGCGTTTTGTGTTCAAACGGTTTCATCTTCAGAAGAAATCCTTAAACAAGGTAAGTCTAGGGAATATGCATTTTTTTTGTTCATTTTTTGTTTCTTTTGTTTGTAATGTTGTTTAAGTGATCGAAATAATTTATTTTGGTAATTAATTTTTTAAATAGTTTATTTTAGTATTTTATTATTATTTTTATTTATTTTGGCTGAAAAGCTCCATCCGGCACAAACGGGCTGGTAAAAAAAAAATCTTTTAATGGGAAAAAAATAATAGATTTAGGGATGTTGAATAGGATTATATCTAACTCTTGAATAATGAATTTTGCATCTCTAGGCTACTTGATAGTGCTTGTGCTTCGTTACTGTAGAAGTTATTTGACGAACAAGCGATTGTTCTGTGAGAGTCAAGTTATCGGTAGATCACCTCACCTCTCTAGTATTTTTCTCCGCCAGCTGCTGTTTCAAGTACTGATGTTTATTCTTTGATTTGTAAATCATCGTTTATTAATTTGATTCGTGCTATGCACTTACCAGGTCTGTGTTACACAATCTTTTGTAAAAATTAAACCCAATTCCTGTCACCGGCCATGCGTTGGCTAAACTAAACAGAAGGAAAAAAAAAAAAAAAAACTCCCGGGGGGACATATTTTTGTCGTTTGACAAGCCCAATGTTTTCGTCGTATTATTTTTTAACAAAATATCCTACATAAAAACAAGTTTCCATTGGAGTGTATTGAGAAGGGAGTGTCGGTAAACAGTACACAACGAAGATATATTTTTGTACAATTTTTTGTCGGTTTTTTGCGATTAAATATTCTAATTACTTTTTAATGAGGTGAATAAATATTTACCTAATATGGAACAAATCAAAATAAGCTAGCAATATTCAGAGAAAATAAATCAACATGAGATATTTTAAAATAACTGAAGATGAGATGCAAAATAAAATATAATGTGAAACACTGAAATTAATAATGTCGAAATGTTCCTTTGAAATATACATCCCAAGTTGGTGCTAGATTGCTTCGGCGTTAATAAGCGTGGTATGTAGGTATAATGTTGGTGCCCTCAATAACTATCTTCAAATCAAGCAGGGTTTGAATATTTCAAGTCATTTTGTCAAACTATATAAAAGGAATAGAAATAAGCATTGTGAAAGTTTAGTTGTTCAATACACAAGAGAGGGATAATCATGAGAACTCTATGAATTTGATTAGCTGCCTCCGGAGAGTTACGCAGCTATCCTTGAAAGGCCTCTCGTGTAGAGACGTTGAAATGGCCTATTGGGCCCAATTTTCATACATGTTAAACTAAATTGGACCATTTTATTTATTTATTTATTTGCATTATTATTTATGTATTTTATAAATAGAATATCAAGCTAAATAAGTGTGATAAATTTGGGGAGGGGGCGGGGGGAGGACGTTGAACAATCAGAACTATAGGTATTGTGGAATTTATAGCAGACTATATATATGCGATAAGTTAAGTTTCTTTGTATTGTATAAAATGAATAAAATAATGAAATTGGATATTTAAGTTTACAAACTTTGCATATATTATTAAATATTATAAAATTTAATTTATTAATATAATACAAAGATAGAAAAATAGTATTGAAACTTAAATAAGATTGACAAAAGTAACTAATACTATTACCTTCATTCTATCTTGCAATTAATTATTATTATATTATCAAAGAGTTATATAATCTAGATTATTGTAATTTTTGTTGTTGTGTAAAATATGAAGCATACATAAATATGTTGTTTATGGTGAAGTATTCAATAAGTTATAATTTTTTTTATAGGTTTTCTTTTCTGATCACAACATTATTGAAAAAAGCTGATAATTAATATATTATTTTTAATAAAAATTGCATGTATGATCTTAAAATACTATAACAAAACATTTTTTTTACTTTTATATTTAAATAAAGTCATATTACCCTAGTTACATCTTATCTATTAATAGTGTCTAATTCAATTGATTAAAAAAATCTGAGTTGTTATAAACTTTTTTATAAACTCTTATTTTAGGCTCTAAATTTGTTGGATTTTAGTTAGAAATGACAAAATGGACGTTTATTCCAATATTTCATCTTTTGTTAGTTACATACTTTTTCGCTTAGTTTGTATGACGTATGCTCCCAACTGAACAAACACACAATATGGCAGTTGCTCCTAAAATTAAGAAAACATAAAATAAATCTTTAAATTTTAAATACTATCATTTTAATCATGAAAGCGTAGGATTTATTAATTATTATTATTATTATTATAATAGTGTCCAAAATTTATAACTTACTAGCATTAGTATTTAATTATGCTAACGGTAAAAACTAACATGAATAATAAATTTTAATTTTTAAAATTTATTTGATATTTTTCTTTTAATTTATTTTAATTTTATTTTTTTGTGAATGATATAAACTTATTAACCTACATAATAATGATATATTTGATTTTATGAACATCTAGTGTGTCATTTAATGATTTATGTGATTTAATAAGTTCACGTTATACACATTAAAATAAATAAATAACTTTATAATTAAATAAGTTAAAAGATATAAGTATAACAATTAGGAAAAAAATTATTTTAAACTATAAAAACTAAATAGTAAAATGAATAAAACTATAAATACTTAAAAAATAAAATATTTTAACCTTCGTTAAAAATTAAAAAAAAAAACCCTAACTTGATCCGAATAGGAATTTAAAAAAACAAAATCCGCCGCTTGGTGGGTTTTAGATATAGGAATTAGGAACTGAAGAACTGATAACCCCCATCGTCCATGCCGCCTCAGCAATCACTGACGCTCTTATCTCCAAATTCCCT